GTCACAGAATGAGGGAATCCTTAAGGTTGGAAAAGCCCTCTAAGATCCCCGAGTCCAACCCTTAATCCAGCACTGCCAGGTTAAGTCTTGTCATTTGTTACCAGGAATTGATCACCAATTATAATTTTATTGGATTACTTTATTTTTTAATGCAAATTATTTCAGTTTCCCTCTGCTGAGCAGTTTGTAGCCCGTCAAGGTGTGTGTGTGTGTGTGTGTGGGGTGGGGAGGCGGGGTTATTTTCAGGATGGTTGGGTTTGTTCTCCTCCCGGAGAGACTCCGCAGCTCCCGGCAAGGGCTTTAATAATTCAGCGCAGGAAATGCGTGCGTATATATAGCAGGGAAGGTAACGCACAGCGTGTACCTACAGGAGGACAAATATGGAAACCTGGTGTGAATTATTCATGAGGTGTGATCAAATAGAGGATTTTCCTAGACAAAGCGCACTTCGCTCTTTTCCTGTTTGTTACAGCGCAATCTGCGCCGAGTACATCCGAACCTCCTTTCATTTTGGGCCGTGTCAGATAACCTCTAATGTATATGCTGAAATTTCTTATTTGCCTTTCAAGCTGTCAGCAAGAAGTAATGGGTTGGTAGAAAAATCTGCCAAGCCTTTTTTTAAATTTTTTTTCTTTGTGGCCTTGCAAAAATTAGGAGATGGAGTAAACACTTTTGCTGCTCTTTCCGGGGAAGGTGTTTTGCCTGTTCAGGCTCTGACAGGAGCATAAACTCGTGGTGCTACGGACTGATTCATGCTCCCACTCCGCAGCACGACGTACTTTGGGTTTTGCTGTTGCATAGTAGGCAGAGGCTATTTTTAACCGGAGCAAGGTTATGAAACCTTAGACCCAGCTGGGTGAAAATAATCTGGTCTGAACTGGAAAGCACAGCATTATGTGGCTGGGAACACGCGTGGGACTGTCCCCTGGAGGGTCCTGGTGGAATGATCCCGCTCCCCTTGGCTCCAGTCAGCCTCGAAAATTGGGAAGTGTTGTCATCGGGAGGCTGTCACAGCGGCACAGGGGAAACCACTTAAGTAAATATGCAAAGAATTAAAATAGTTAAATGATCGAGCAATGAATCAATGCTGATAGTGTGGCGATTATTAAAGAACCCACTGCTGTTCGGCAGCAGATTTCTGGGGCAGCTGAGCGGGAAGCTCAGCTCCGCAGCACTTTTTTTGGTGATTCTCACACCGGGATCTCTTTGCCCACAATAAACGGCAGCGTGCAAACAAAACACCAACCCCAGCAACTCCGCGAGCTGCCTTCGGAGCCGTACCTGGCTAAAATATGCGGTGGTGTTTTTTAAACTAATATTTACTCCTGCTAGACCTGCACAGCCACTGCGGCTCTGGGGGAGGGAGCGGGAGCCGCTCTGACTCACGGCTCAGCGCGGTCCTGAGCTCGCTCCCAGCACCCGAGCGGCTCCCGGTGTGCTGGGGAGAATCCACCTTGGTCTGCTGGGATAAACCCACTTTGTCCTCCGGGCCTGCGAGCAGATGGCTGAGTTTCAAAGTCAGCAAACCAGCGCAAAAAGTCACTGGAAAACAAATACTTTTAGTGCACTGTGCTGAGGTTTTTTTTTGGGGGGGGGGTCGGAGGGATTGTTGTGTTCTTGGTGTTCCTCAAATCGCTTCGCAAAAGAAACTTTGCTTCCAATAACTCGTGCACGGATTCGGGATTCTTCCATTCTTTAAGATGCTCCACTGATATAACCCCCAAAATCTGAAATATTCTTGCTCCTGGGTGTTCTCCTGCATCTACCATGGGAATTGTGGCCCAAGCAAAGGCAGCTGCTGGACTCGCTGTGAGGAGTTTCCTTTGCTTTGCTTGCACTGCTGCGATCTCCTGACGCTTCAAAGCACATCTACAGCCCCAAAATGCAAGACTGAAACATCTTCTCCTCCTAATTCTGCCCAAAGCTTCTTTGTGCAGTCTCCTGGAGAGTGGACACTGGTAGAGGTTTTTAGTTGCCGTCCTCTGCACTTGGCTAAACAAATGCCAAACCTTCTTAAATCTAAATTACTCGAAATATTTACTGTTGAGACGTCGTCCAAGAGGAGGATAGTTAAAACATTAATTCCTTGCATTCCAGTGTATTAGGGCTTTACCCTGCAACTTGCTGGGCGCCAGAAATGGGACTTTGCAGATTGGATTCCCTTCCCCCCAACTACACTGCTCCCCTCTATTCCCCCCACCCAAACTTTAACGCTTTTTTTTTTTAAAAAAAAAAAAAAAAAGGAGGGAGAGAGAAAGAAAGGAATGCACATCTGGGCTAAATATTTGTTAGAAAGTATTCCCAGGATAGTGGGAGTTCTGGTGCCAGAGAGGAATTCCTGCGGGTTTGATCCATTGCATTATGTACTTGTTCCAAAAGCTGTTTTCAGTAAAATAGATGAGTAAGAAGTCTTAGCCAAGAACAGAATGTCTTTTTTGGCAACTGAAAGGAAGATAGGATTATTTTATTTCAGGTTATGTAAAAAAAAAAAAAAAAAAAAAAAAGAGAAGGTGGTAAAATCCTGCACTCGGTGGTGCCTGCAAAGATTTGCAATGGCAAACTCAGATATAGATATTTATTTTTTCCATGCTGCTGTGGACATTTTTGGGACTTGCTTGTGAAACACCGCTGTGGGTTTAAGGTTCCTTGCAAAATTACTGCAATTAAAATATCCTCATTGTGTCTGAATGGGCCTCTGAGCTTTTTTGGCTGAGTGGCCAGTGGCCTCGGTGACATGGCTTTAAAGGCAGCATCCAAATTGCTGATGTGAATTCTGTCTCCACGTGCCAGGGTGAGGAGGGGGGCAGAGGATCATCCTGGCTTTGACAGTAAAATGCCCAACTGGAGGATTTATTGGAGTAGGGTAGAAGCAGACACTGATGGGTGCAGCTCCACTACATTGCTCCTGAGAAGGATTTGGAAACTTGACTTGGAAAACGTTGCAGCCATAAATCAGCAACGAGGGGGAAGGTGTAACAGGAGAAAATTACTAGATTTTGGCTGGTGGGCAGCAGGTTCACCAGCTTTTTCCCATTAGCTGGGAATCCTGTTTGCACAACACCTCCTTTGCATTAACAAAACAATAGGTGTCTTGAAGAAGACAGCGTGCCAAAAGTGTTTTTTTCCCCTATCCATTTGGCTCATTCTCATAGATGGGGAGCTGCACACACCTCCCTTCATCCTCCTGGCTGGTGACAGTATTTAAAAAATAAATAAATAGAATTGCACCATCTTATGCACAGCTTGCCTTGGCTCTGGCTTGGTGTTTGTGTTAGCTGGGTTTGCTGGCTGGAGGGGAGTGCTCTGCTTTCCCTGTGGGGTTGGTTTGGGGGGATGTGGTGCAGCCCCTGATGGGCTGTTGGGTTGGCAGGTAACTTGAGCAGCAGAGCTGCTGCATCTTTGGTCCGGACCTGGGAGTTATCCCTGTCTCAGCAGCGTGACCTTGGCTGCTCCAGCACCCTCCGTTGTCTCCCACAGGACTGGGATGTGGTCAGCATCGCATCTCTGAGGGTGTTTGCTGTTGGACACGTGTCCTACAGGCATTTTAGGGAGCTGGTTCTTCCCTCCCTTGGCTATAGTGGCATCCCTCACTGTCATCCCTCACTGTCCTTTGGAGCATTCTCTCTGCAGCAGGAACTGATGCGCTTTCAAGCCACGTGTGGGATTGTTTTTTTGCGAAGTTTTTGCCTGTTCCAGGTGGACAGTGGGGTCTGCACCCCTCTGTCTGCAGCCCAGGCTTTGATTTGTACCCTTGCCATGGATTTGGAGAGTTTCTTTGCTCCTGGTTGTTTCTTAAAGCAAACACGAGACAGAGGAGGCACATACACAAAAATAATACAAATTAAATGTTTGTAATTTGCTGTTTTGTGGCCACCTGCGAACTCAGCTTTGCCATGGAGCAAGCAGGAAAGGGGTTAATCCAGGTGTCGGGTAGGACATGTGCTGCTGGGGCTGGAGGGTGGCCAAATCCACCTTCTCTGCATCTATTTTGGATTAAGGCCAAAAAAACAACAACCCCTCTGTGGCAAAACCACCTGCAGCTCCAGGTCTGCTGAGGAGGAGGAGGAGGGATGGTGGGATCGCTTCTCCCCAGGTTCAGAGGGACGTACTGGCCCTGTAAGTGTGCCTTGCAGCAAATTATTAAGTTCTCCAGGCCAGGGAAGTGCTTCATCCAGGGACTTTATTGACCTTTTAGGTGACTATTGTCTCCTGGGAAGCTGGTGGTAAACATAATTAGGGAGGGTTGGTGCAGGGCTTGGAAGGAACTGTGTGTGCTCCTGTCCTGCAACGTGATACTGCTTGGTGCTGTCGGGACACTGAAAATCCCATGATGGGGAGGTTCTGAAACTGGTGTGGTGTCTGTGCTGCCTCCTCAGGTCTGTCAGAAGGACAGGTTTAGTGTTTTTTGGTTTGGTTTGTTTTTTTTTCTTTTTCAGAGACTTAAATTAACTTCAGACATGCAAAGCGGAGAAAGTGTTTGGGTTGCAAAAAATGAATTTGGCTGGTGGAGAAGTTTTGTGTGGTGGGAGGGGATGTGGACTGGGTGTCTGGCACCCCTGTATGTGCACTGTCACCATCCCGGGACTGCCTACCGTCCCAGCTTTATCCAAATTCTAGGGATGCTTTAGCTTTTGTGTATTATGGGGTGTCTGGTAGCATCCCACGTTGCTGAGGCTCTCCCCTCCTTGCTGGAAGGAGTTCCTGGGCTGGGGCTGCATCCCTCCCACCGTGGTTGTGCCTGGTGGGATGGGGTCAGAGCAAGTCACCCCTCAGGCAGCAGCTTGGCTCTCAGCTCTGGGGATGGCTCCCAAATAAGCTGGCAGTGCCTTCTGCAGGAGCAGGGGGAGCTGAGGTGGTGTTGCCAGAGTCTAAAAGGTGGAGCAATCCATCATCAGTGCAGGAGCATCCCAGGATGGGTGGGTGCTGATGTCCCTTAGAATCATAGAATATCCTGAGTTGAAGGGACCTACAAGGATCATCAAGTCCCAGCTCCTGGCTGTGCACAGGACCACCCCAAAAATCCCACTCTGTGCCTGAGAGCATTGTCCAAATGTACTGCAGGCAAAGCCTGTAGCTTTTGTGGGCTTTTTTTGGTCTCCCGAATTTGCACAAACTTTATAAAAGCAAAATTTAAAAGATGCAGCGCAGTTATTTTTGGCTTTCTTTTATTTTTTTTTTCTTTAAGATGAGCAGGGGCAAAGCATGCAGGAAATTTAGGAATCTAGGCAAGTACAGAGCTCCTTTGTTTTTAATTAGCTGCGTTGTTTTTAATTGCTTCTATGCTTGATACATAACCCAGCCTAAACAAGAATAGCTTATTGAATGGGGGACTGACTATGAAAGGCACCGTGAGGAGAAGGGCTGTTCTTCACAGTTGATATATTTGTATTTCAGTGCTTCATTTAATAAGTCTGTTTCCCCGGGGGGCTGTAGCAAGTAAATCATGCCAACAGATTGTTTTCTGCAAACTGGCTTATTTTTGTAATTAGCAAGACGTTAAAGCTGTAACTGCATAGAAAGCGATCTGGGTGAGGAGTGAACATAAAAGAATTAGTAAGCAAAATGTAATACTTACTGTTTGATGACATTTGTGTTGATTGGATTGGTTTCTGGACAGTTTGGTGTCTGGGATAGTTTCTTCTGTAGTGTTGAGAAATGGGAGAGAAATTCACAGGTGTGCACAGTGAGTGTAGTAAGATGAGGTGTTTTAGGGACAGCATTTTTTGGGAATCACATCTGCATGGCCAAGTGGATCTGTTGGGGAAGCCTTGCTGGGGGTTACATCTGTCCTGCTCATCACCAGAAACCGACAGGATTTCCCTGGCTTCATGTTGCTTTTTTTCCTTTGTTTTCCAGTTATATGATAAAAACGGCGTCACCATGAGCGGAGTATTGAAAAGGAAGTACGAAGAGCTGGGGGATGACAGCACCTACTGCTCCTCCTCCTCCTGCTCCCCCCTCTCCTCCTCAGCATCCTCAGGCTGGGACACTGATGAGGAGAATTCCCGTGGAGAGCCCAAGCCCAGCTCTGCCTTAATATCCAGCTTCACCCGTGAGTACCTCTGGCTTTCCCAGGATCAGCCATGCCTCTGCATGGGATTTTTGTAGGGGGGGTGGTGGGTCGTCACCCCACAGAGACCCCCTTGGGGCACACCTTTATGGGTAGAAGTGGCTGTGGTGCCGGCTGCCTGTCATGACACTGATTTATAATCATCCAGCCTCCTCACTGTGGTGTTCCTCAGCCCTTCTTTCCAGTATTTATTATTCCTTTGGAATAGTTTTGCTGAAGTTCAGGTTTCCAGGATCAGAAACCCAAGGATGGGTGTGCAGAGGCATGTGGGTGCTTCCAAACCTGTGCTGCAGGACCATCCCACCAACCCTCAATTCCCTGTCGAGCTGTTTCACAGGCAAAAGCTAATCAGACAGTGAAGGCCTGTAATGCTGTTTTTTAAAAATGATTAACCAGTAGCGTAATTACCATTTCAGAACTTGTTTCCTACGTAAATTGGGTACTTTGCCAAAGAACATGACACATTTGACATTGCCTCCGCTGCTAGTACAGATAAAAGCTATTTTGTTTTCCCAGCAATATAAGTTTTGAGAGCTTTTAGGAAAACACACAGAAGGCAGTGTTGTAAAGCCCTTTATCTGCTGTGTGAAGGGAAAAATAAAAAGTACAATAGAGGAACATCTTCATGGAGGAGAAATATTCCAACCTAGTAAATTATACTGAACACCCACTGTATATAGCAGTTAAGGTCCACTTAGCAGACATACACAAACACGCAGTGGTCTGAAAAGGCTTTAGAAGTCTTGTAATAATAAAGAGTCTCATTCTTGCTTGTCTTCCCAGGTTTTGTGACAAAACAATGAACTTTTTGTATTCTCTGGCTCAATTGGAAAAGGGTCAGGAATGGGAAAACAATTTCGAAGGAGGGGTGCAGGGAGAGAGAAGCAAATGCCAAAGTGCAGCAGCTCGGCTGATAGATGATCGTGGTGGTTAACTTGCCTTCTGATAAAGAGCTCATGTTTTAAGAGATTGAGTCAAGGTTATTGTGAAAATGCAACGCACAGTGCAAAGATATGATCAGAGTGACTGCAGGGCCCAGTGTGAACCCCCAGCTATTGAGCAGAAGCTGCTGACACAGCTGGGTGAACACTTCTTTTTTCTCTCTTTTTTTTTTTTTCCACATGAAACCGAAACACTATATTTTGGCAAGTGAGACCTGTGAAATGTGGGTGCAGTTAATTGTCCAGTCTTGCCCTTTCACAGCCTTTGGGGCCCACCAAACCAGCCGAGCCCCTCAGGTTGTTGCAGTCTTTTCCTTGTCCCACTGTAAGGCTGCTTGTGGCTCTGCCTCCTCAAGAGCAGGATTTGATCCCAGCTCTGCAGCAGTCACTCATCCTTTCTGGGTTATTTTTTTCCATGGAGGCAACCAAAGCACCCATGCCACCAGCAGAGAATGGGACCAGAATTACCTCCCCACCACAAATTTGGGTGTAGCTGGCTCTTGTTCCTGCCACACTCATGGAAACTCACTGACTCTGAACCTGCCCTGACTAATTAGTCCCTTCCATCTACTGTGCACATGCAGATGTGCAGGGCCAGCTATCTCTGGAGAGGCTGTGGTGTGTAACATGTTTCAGCAGTTTAAGATAAACCAGAGTCATGTTTACCCGGGGATCACCTGCACAAAGATTAACATCTCTGCAGCTGTTCTCAAATGAGTCTCTTGAGAATAAACCATAGATTCAGAGTTCCTCCCAGTGGATGGTGAAAGGAAGTACCAGGAAAAGCAGTGATTGGGCTATTTTCTGCCCTGCCACAACAGCTGGAGCCATGAAGCACTGGGAATGCCAATGCCACAGCATCCCAGGAGCAGACCAGGGGCTCCTGAGCCTGGGGCAGAGTGGATTTAGAGAGACAGATGTGTAGGATGGCTGTTGCTTGTTCGTTATGCTCTGCCACACGTGAAGAATAAGCAATTGGGTGTTCCTGGGGGAAGTCAAGTGGGAAGGAGAAGCAGCAGCCACCTCGTAGGGTGAATCTCATCAGTGACTCCAATGCAGCAGGGCTTGGCTTAGCTGCCTCTCCATCCCCATCCCACCTCTGAAGTGTTAGCTCCTAAAACACCACCAAGCAATGTTGTGGCCTTGTCCCATTGTGTCCCTGCTGAGAGAGTAATTGCAAGTCCTGACTGTTTGTAATATTTCTGCAGCATGGCAGCACTGACTTAGTGCTTTTTCCTTTTTTTTTCAATTCTCCCCTTTTCAGCCACGTCAATCCTGAAGAAATCCAAGCGACTAAAGAAGAACAATGTGGAGTTTGACCGGGTCACTGTGTTTTACTTCCCACGCTGCCAGGGCTTCACGAGCGTGCCTAGCCGTGGGGGCTGTACCCTGGGGATGGTGAGCAAACACAGCTCCTCCCGGCAGTTCACACTGGCAGAGTTTTCAAAGGAGCAGGAAAACGTCCGTCGGGGCAAACTCGAAGAGAAATTAAAAGAGGAGAAGTTGGAAGCACTGAAATGGAAAGTGAGTTAGGAGAGTGGGACTGGGTTGATGGGGAGCTGGTGGATGTTGTTAATTAATTGGCCGTTTTTTAATAAGAGCCTCTGAAACCTGGGGGCATCAATCCTTAGCTCTCAGTTTGGGTCTCCAAAAAGCACAGGCTCCAGTGGGGGATTTTCATTTAGTTAAAAGTGAAAAGACACAGAAGATATTTTTGCTCTTTTGGTAGTACCTCTCTGTCCTGGCATCCACTTGAGACTCTTCTTAGCATCTCCCAAAGTCTTTTCGTTTCTGATTTAGATACTTGATATCCCAGAACACATCCCCGGCCAGGTGTCAGGTCTTTGTGGGCTCTTAGATTTGATCCTGAGGTTAGCCACCGTGGAGGAGAGGTCATTCCTTTCTTGTTTCCCCTCAGCTGGGGCTTCCAATGCCTCTGAGTCCCAAACAAGCCCCTAATGCTTTGTCCATTTTCTGCCCTCAGCTAACCATGAATGGCACGAAGGAGTCAGAAGAGGCCAACCAGCTCACCATCGAGGACATCTCCGACGACGACATCGACGTCAGCAGCGTGGACCTGGAGGACGGCTTCTTCCTGCAGCCCTACCCCGCCAAGAAGAGGCGGGCGCTGCTCAAGGCCGTGGGGGTGAAGAAGATCGACAAGGAGGAGAAGCGGGAGCTGCACAGCATCCGCCTGTCCCGGGAGGATTGTGGCTGCGACTGCCGCGAGGTCTGCGACCCCGAGACCTGCAGCTGCAGCCTGGCAGGCATTAAATGTCAGGTACGGCCTCGCCCCTGGGCACGGGGGGATGCCGCGGTTCCAGCTGGGGGGTGTGGGCAGGTTGGACAAAGTTGGGGCAGCCTTTAAATCCGTCTGTGCTTGGAGGTGAGGAAAGCTCTTGGAGCATCCCTCAGGCTGCAAGGCAGACACTGCTCCAAAGTGTCCTCTTCCCAAATCACACGTGCAGCCATCCCCACACTGCCAGTGCCTGCAGTGAGAATGTCCCTGCTGTACATCCCCACGAGACCCCTATACCTGCTTGATCTCCTGCTGGAGGTGGGCCACGTGGGAATGTCTGCAAGGAAGAGCTCCTTGCTCCTCACATGAGGCTGCGCTTTCTCCCCCTCCCCCAAGTTTTATTTTTAATTCTTTTTTCTTTTGGCGTGTGTCACAAATCCCAGCACGCTCAGGCGAACGTGGGAGTGTCAGCTGAGCATCAGCCCACAGCGAGCTGTGCAGGCCACCTGCACAGTGGGATAATCCCCCTGTGTTCAATCAGTGAGTTCTATTTTTCAGGGTGTTTTTTTGCGGGTGCCTGCCCAGCTGTATTTTGGGACTCTCATTCCCTATTCTGGGCACCGCTCGCTCCCTCGGTGCCGTGTTTGGAGGCTGGGGGTGGCGGAGGTGGGTGCACATGGGTGCTCCGTGTGTGTGTCACAGCCCCCCTCTAGTGGCTGCTGCAGATCAGATAGTGAGATCATTAAATAG